GGGGAGGGGGCCCGGGCGGTGCCAGGGGCGGGCCCGGAGCAGCAGCAGCAGCAGCAGCAGCAGCAGCCAGTGTCGCCGTCGGCGGGCGACGCGTCGCGCCGGCAGCACCGCCACCACGGCATCGCTGTCGGCGCCGGCCGCGGCCACGCGCAGCACGCGCATGGCCACAGCAGCCGCACCGCCGCCGCCGTCGCCGCTGCGTACGCCGCAGTGCAGCAGCAGCCGCGGCCGCAGCGCCGGAGGTTCCCGCTGGCGGTGTCGGGCCCCGCGGGCGGGGCGTCGCAGGGGCTGGACCAGGACGAGCGCGAGGAGTTGTGGGACGACATCGGGCAGCTGGGAGTGCACGAGGCGCTGGCCAGCATCGGCGCGCGCGCGTCGTGCGCGCTGTGGGGCCGCGCGGCCGGCGGGCGCGGCGGGGAGCGCGTGGGGGCGCTGGCGGACCTGAGTGTTGCGTGCGTCGTGCGGGACATAGAGATGGCGCGGGAGGAGGAGCGCGAGGACGCCGCCGCGGCCGCGCGGCGCGGCCACAGGCGCCGTGGCGGCGACGGCAGGGCCGGCGGCGGGGACGGCGCCGCGGCGTCGGACGAGGTGGCGGCGATCGCGCGCGTGGTGGAGGGGTTCCGCGGCCTGCCCGCCGCGCCCGGCATGCACGCGCTCGCGTGGGGCCCGGCCCTCGGCAGCGGCGGCGGCGGCGCGGACGGCGGCGACGGCACGGCCGCGGCGGCGCGGGCGCTCGCGAGGCTGCGGAAGCGCATCCCCGCGCCGGGCGGGCGCGGGGCCGCGCCGCTGGCGGTGACGGCCGAGTTTCTGTCGGCGCGGCTGCTGCTGGACCATTTTATGGCGGAGCGCATCGAGACCACCGGCATCCCCACGACCAACGCCCACATCACCCACGGCTGGCGCGCCTACTGGGCGCCCTCCCTGCTGCGCCTCGCCGCGTCGCGCGCGCCGTCCGCCGCGCTGACGTGGCGCGCGCTGTCCGCGGCCAACGACATGGCGTCACGGCTGGCGGGGCGCGTGCTGTCGCTCATGAGCAGCACCATGTTTGATGCGGGCGCCAACGCCGTCGAGGTCAGCGGAGACAGCGTGCTCGCCGCGCTGCGCCTCGCGCTGCCGGCGCCGCTATTCGACGCGGCCGCGCCGCGCGCGCGCGCCGCGATGGCGCGGTTCCGCGACGTCGAGTGCGATGACATCAGCAGCGTCACATGGGCGCGGCTGGCGCAGCAGCTGGGGCTGACCTTCGAGGTGGGGCCGCAGGGGTTGTGGGTGGGGCGGGGACGGGCGATGGGGGCGGCGCTTGGGCGTGTGTGCGCGGCGGTCGCAGCGCAGGCTTTCTCCCCTGGCAGGTCGGATGGTGCCGGGCTTCGCACCAGCCCGCTTTGGCCCGTCGCGACCCTCAGACAGACACTGGTCAGCCTGCTGGCGCTGGTCTGACGGCCCCCCTCCGCCCTCGTCTTGCACCCCCCAACACCACGATCACTCCTTCAACTACGACGGCCTCCACCCAACCAACCCTCCCCTTCCCCTTGCCCCGCCCCCCCTTCCCCCCCGCAGCTGGGCAAGACGGTCGGCGTGGTGGACGTGGCCGTGCCCATGGTGGACGACGCGGCCGAGGACTACGAGGAGGAGGACGAGGACGAGGACATGGGCGGCGACGACGGGGACGGCGGCGCTGACGAGGAGGGCAGCAGCGGCAGCTACACCAGCGCCAGCGACGAGGATGAGGGGGAGGAGGGCGGCAGCGAGGGCGACGGCGAGGGCGCGGGCGGCGGCGCGGCGGCGCGGCGAGGGGGGAGGGGCCGGAG